GAGAAGAAAAGAAAAGAAAAAGAGAAAAGACAAAACCAGGCTCAGGCGGGACTCGAACCCGCAGTCTTGTGATCCGGGAAAATATAGAAGTCACACGCCTTGACCATTAGGCCACAAAGCCGTCCTTTGTCCCGCAAGGCCTGAGTTGCAGCCATATATCCAAGACGCCTTGGCGAAGTCTCCTCTGGACGGCTGGCCGGTCGAATTAGCTGGCCAGCGTCGCAGGCGCCGATGGAGGGCCAGCTCGTCTGCGTGGCGAGGCGAGCGACGGATGAGGATTGACACGGAAAGGTGCTGCTACCGGGATCGCAGAGACGAGTCGGGAAGACCGCCGGCGATCCCGACGGGAGCCAGGCGGGCAGGCAGGCAGGCAGGCAGGCAGGCAGGCAGGCAGGCTGGCATGTCCGTACGGTGATGGGTGGGGCTCGACGAACGAAGGGCGGCGGCGGCGGCGTCGGCAGCGTCGGCATGAGCCTATCGTGTCCAGGTGAGACGGGTGCGTGCCTGCTTGCTTGCTTGAAGCTGCCTAGCCTAGCCTGGCCTGGCGTGGCCTAGCCTGCGTTGCCTGCCTGTGTTTGTCTCGGACCTTTTTCCGCCAGACGAGGAGGCCGTCAGCGAGACCAGGCAGGCAGGCAGGCCGGGGAGGGACGAGGGAGCATGCTGCACGTCAGCCAGCGCGGCAGCGGCCAGAAAGGGCTACGGCCAGGACGTCGTCGACTCCGGCGAATTCCACAGGAGGGGTCCACGTTCCCCCTCGCGGCCTGCGGATGGGCGTTCCAAAGTGACACCGGCCGTACCCTGCCTGCCCGCCTGCCTGGGGGCTGGCTTGCGCTGCTTGGCATGGGCTGCTCCGAGTTCTTCCTCATCGGGCCAAGCCGACGACGTAACGTAGGGCGGATGCGGCGGGTGCTTTTCTTTGTTCGGTTGGGCGTTGCGCCAACGTGGGCTCGACCCGGCTGGCTGGCTTGCCTCAGCGCTCTGTTTGCCTGCTCTCTCTCTCTCTCCCTCTCTCTTTTGTTCAGCCCGCGAGCGAGCCCCGTCACCAGGCCCGGGCCTTCTTCGCAAGCGATCTCCAAAAGGGAAATCCAAAGGGAGATCAGGGCAGTTAGGCCCGCACGTGAAGGCTGGAGCGAGCGCTTGGGCTCCTTCCATCGGCTGCAAGCTGGGCTGTGCTGGGCAGGGCAGGGCCACGTCGGTCAGTTGGAAGGTTGCGCCGGACGACGAGATGGCGCGACCTTGCTTTTTGTGTGTCGGGCGTCGACGAGAACGCGGATGTGGGGGACTGAGGTCTCAGCGACCTAGGCTGCCTAGGCCTGCTGTGGGCTGGCTGCCCGCCGTGCGCGCGGGGGTGGAGCATCGACCGACGTGCGTATCTGTGTAGCCGCAGGCCAGCCAGCCAGCCAGCCAGCCAGCCAGCCAGCCAGCCAAAAATCAGGGCGGCCTCTTAGCACAGCGCAGGCAGGGCAAAGCCACGCCAACCAAGAGGGCGCTGGCCTGGCCAGGCCGTGACAGCGACACGACCGGCAACGGCGTTGCATCGCTCCACATTCACCCCACCACCACCACCACCACCACCACCATCATCATCACCATCAGACCGCCATCGCGACCACCGCCACCCCGCCTCTCCTAGACTCGTCTCGCCTTTTCTGCTGCCCGCCACTCCGCCTCGGCAGCCTCCTCTTCTTGTCCGTCCCTGTGCCGCCCCACGCCCGCCCGTTCGGAACGCCAACGCCAACGCCGACGCCAACGCTCCTTGGTCGCATCGTAGGGTTCGCGCTGGCAGCAAACATCAATCTCGCGCACGCATACCCGGCAATGCTCTCCTTCGTGGTGCCCACCCTAGACACTGCTGCCCTTTTCTGAGCCGGCTGCCCTCTTCTGAGCCGACCTGCACAGTCGACCTCTGTCCCGTCGGCGACCCGTGCGTGCCGTGGCCATGTCGACGCACGAGGCAGAGGGCGACGCTGGCCTCGAGGCGGCCGCCACGGCGCTCCACATCAGCCTCCCGCCAAACTACCCACAACCCAGCGAGACGTCCTTCTCGCCTCCGTCGCATCGCAACGCCAACGCCGCCTCGCTCGCCAGCCCATCAATCGAACAGGTGCTCTCCTCGCCCCACCTGCCCAACGCCGCGACGACATCGTCGTCTGCCGCCCTCGTATCGCCGCGCTTTGCTCCCCTCCCCCCCTCTGCCACAAGTGCCGCCACATCGCCCGGCGCAGCCGCCAGACCCGCGCTCTTCGATGCCAGGAGGGCCGGGTCCCATCGCAGGATCGGGTCGGCATCGCTGCCTTCGGCCGCAGGCTCGTCGACCTTCCATCTCCCGTCTCCGTTCTCGCCCTCCGAACCTTCTCCGTTTGCCCATCCCTTTGGCGACTCGCCCGCCATCAAGAGCGCCAAGAGCACGCCGGGAAGGGCCTTCCAGATCGACGAGGGCCATCAACAAGATGCGCTCGACGATGACCAGGGGCTCGCAGGCAGCAGCTCGGGCAGGCCGAGAACCGGACACGCTCTCGACCTCACGCTGCCTCCTGCCATGATGAGCTCCGGCCGCAAGGCGAGCGTCAGCCTGCACCTGTTCAAGGAGACCAACGCCCTCCCATCAGGCGCCCCCGTCAGCGGCGGCCGGCTCTCGAAGAGCTCCAAGGCCAGCTCGCGGCAGGCACACCGGTCAGGCACCATCACCGCCGCCCAGTCCATCCCACAGAGCTCGGCGACGGGCTCGCAAAGGAGCTGGCTGGGATCCGCAGCGAACTTGTCCGGCGCGGCAGAAGCGCGGCCCGCAACGCCTTCCTCCCTTCTGGGCCATCGAGGGACATCCGCCGTGGACGCCCGCTCCTTGCCCGGGGCGTTTCACCCGGCGCCCGTGCCGATAGCGCGGCCACGGAGACCACAGCGTGCCCTGACCCTGGCCTCGCCCGAACGCATCGCCGAGGATCGGCTCGCCGACGGCAGGCTGCCCTCGAGCGAGATCGATGCCATCGAGGCTCTGCCGGCGCCCCTACGGCGCAGCCTGTCCCACCCTTCGCAGAGAGCGCAGTCCGAGGACAAGATGAGCAGCAGCAGCTGGCAACAGGTCGACCCGTCCACCGCCACGGCCGCCTCGAGCCGGCGGCACAGCTTCGACGAGATCGCGCCCAGCTCGTCCGAGTACGAGGAGGACGACCCATTCCTGTCCGACCTCGACGCCGCTGGAAGCCACCAGGGCGAGGTTGGCTCCTTCCCCGACGAGGACGACTCCTTTGGCGACGATCGCCTCGACGATCTGGACCGCGAGCGACTGGAGGGCGAAGACCAGTTCGACGAAAACGGGGTAGAGACCTACTGGAGCTCGGGCTCGGCGGCGCATTCTCGCTCCGGCTCGCCCGCCCACGGCCGTCGACATTCGCCGCCGCCACCGCCAGCGGTCGTGCAGCTGCAGCCGTTCAACAACCAGGTCGGCGGCCACAGCGCCATCTTCCGCTTCTCGAAGCGTGCGGTTTGCAAGCCGCTAGTCAGCCGCGAGAACCAGTTCTACGAGGCCATCGAGCGCGACCATCCGAGCCTGTTGCCGTTTGTGCCACAGTACCTCGGTGTGCTCAATGTCACCTACCGACACGTCGGCAAGGAGTCGCATGCCACTGCAGCCGCCGCAGCCGCTGCCTCGCCGCGGAGCGGAGAGGCCAAGTCGCTGCCCACCCACGATTCGCCCCTGAAGCTGTCGGCGCTCTCGTCGGCGGACCCGCAGCATGGCGGGCATCAGCCGCAGGCGACCCTCAGCCGTACCAATTCGGACGGCGGTCGGGGCCGGCGGCGGATCTTCGAAGGACAGGAGCACAACGACACCGAAGTCCCCGAGGTGTCGCTCGACATGAACCGGCACATGGTGCCGGAATGGATGCTGCGGAGGAGCCAGGCCGGCAGGCAGGGCGGCAGTGCTCGCAGCACTCCTCACCGGAGCCGGGACTCGAGCCGACCCGGCCGCGCCAACGGATCCCTCGACCGCGATCCCGCTCATCAGCGGCGGTATGCGAGGACGCAGTCGCATCAACTCAGCAGCAGCGCCGGGCAGGCCTGCCTCACGGACACGGGCAAGAGCCCACTGGACGCTTGCCTCGGTCGCGAGTCCGGTGGTCTGGGCTCGTCGCGCGGACGTGACACGCCGCTCTCGTCGAGCCCCGTATCGGCCTTTGTCTCCCCAAGCTCTTCGCCGCAGCTCGCCCGGTCCACCCTGCAGGCATGGCCCTCCTCGGACTCTCCGTCGACGCACTCGGGCCTCTTCCCCCATCCAAACTCTGAGCGGCTGGGCCCGTCGGGATCGGCGACGATGATGAGCAGCAGGACACCCTCGCAGATGTCGCAGCCGTCGATCGCCAGCTCGGGCGGATGCATCATGGGCAAGGGCATCACCACGGTCAACCGCCGCCTGCAGGAGCAGGTGCTGCGGGAAGTCTTTAGCAGCCCGATGCTCAAGGACGACGTCGGCACGCGGTACGGCGGCAGCAGTGCGCGGCGAAACGCGCGCAACAACCGCCGCCGGCTGGCAAAGGCGTGGGAGGAGAGTGCCGAGGGCGAGAGGCGGCGCGAAGGGTCCGGCACCGTCCGCGAACCGCGATCCGCTTTGCCCAAGGCCTATTTCGACGAGAGTGGGCGCCTCAGTGTGGCGAGCGAGCGCGGTCCCGCGACGACCTCGCCGTCTCCGGCGATTGTACGACGCGGGGTCCGGCATCCATCGACGCCCCCGCGCTCCCCGCCCCTAGGTGCGGTCGGCACGTCTCCGGGCGCCGTTCCGTCCAAGCACGGGGTGGTCGTTGCCTTTGATGCGGATCTGACCGCCGCAGTTGACGAGGAGGACGAAGCGGAGACGTCGCGGAAGCCCAGAAGGATTCACAGCGACCTCAGCCTCGCAATGAAGCGGAAATGCTTCGACCTGGGCGTCACGCCCCTCTCGCCTTCGCCGGACTCTTCCGGCACCCAGACCAAGACGCCAAGCACCGCCAAGGGCCGGGAGGAGCAGCGCGAGGATGCTCGCAAAGCCCTGGAAGGCGTGTCGCCCGAGGGCAATGCGGAGCGCCGAGGTCCCCAAGCATCTAGGTGGGACGTTGGCGCGGGAACATCGGAAGCAAAGCCAGAGCAAGGAACCCGCCTTCCGCCGCACACGATCGATGCCATGACCCCGCCCTCGGACGACGATGCGAGGGTCCAAGCGGACGGCGTCCAGACCCGGCAGGAGCAGTTCCTGCTTATGGAAGACCTCACGGGACGTCTGCGGTCGCCGTGCGTGCTGGACCTCAAGATGGGTACGCGGCAGTACGGGCTCGACGCGACCGACGCCAAGCGCAAGAGCCAAACGAAGAAGTGCGACAAGACCACCAGCCGCACCCACGGCGTGCGGATCTGCGGCATGCAGGTCTACGACTGCCAGAAGAGCACCTACATCTTCCAGGACAAGTACTACGGGCGCAAGGTGCTGCCCTCGCACTTTGTCGAGGCCCTCAGCCGCTTCTTTTACGACGGCCGGCGGACGCTCGTGCACCACATCCCCCTCATCCTCGAAAAGCTCTACCGCCTCGCCCGCACCATCCACGGCCTGCGAAGGTACCGCTTCTACGCCAGCAGCCTCCTCTTCATCTACGACGGCGACTGCCAGACGCAGAGCCGGCTCGACGACGCCTTTGCCCGGCGCTGCGTCGAGGGCGAGGGCGGACGGGTGCCGACCCGTCCAGGCGACGCGCGGCTCGCGGCTCGCGGATCTAGCGGCGCAGGGCGATGCCGTCGACGACGGCGGCGAGGGCGGCA